TTAGCGCAATCGCCACGCGAATAGTCATTGGTGCTAGTTCGAGAAACCGATAGAGATAAATAATAATAATATTAATAATTATATATATAATATTAATAATATATATATATATATATAGAAATATATATCGTCGAGGGTGTATCGAAATCTGTTCTTCTTTCTTTGATTTTTATATCGAATACTTAAGAAGAAGAAAAGACATGTAAACGACACGATAACGAACAATGTTAATGTTTACCGGACATGGTGACGTTTCCCCACGAGCGAGAAACGTCACCGGACACGCACAAAATCGATCGATCACGAGATTCTTTCATTCGTTCATAACGAGGTACAAAGAAAACTAAAACGACTGTACTATTTAAACGGACCCGCTAGTTTCGCTTTCTAATTTATCGGTATCTTGCTTGCTGCGCGATCGAGCTTTGTTATGTATTTTTATAAGGACAGAGCTTACGGAAGGCGGTGTACATCTGTCAATGTAATGTAATTACAATAAATTGAAACGTATATAAAATTGGACTACCATTATCCGGACTCGCATCATTTATACACTTATATTATACAACTGTACAAGTACTAATCTTTACCCACGTATTTAATTACTTTAGTCGTCCTCTACTTTGCTAGCGATTGTCATTGTCCTACAGATTGAAATAAACTTTCAAACTTTTCCACGGTTCGTCCTTCAAGTATCTTTATTGGAACTGATAAACGAAGATACAAGTATCCCATTTAGAAGAACGTTTAGAAACACTTTTATAGGAGCTTCTCACCTTTGATTAAATATCACTAATGATAAATATTAACAGCGTTTGTCAACCTGAATTTAAATTAACGTATAAAACAGAAGATTTCTTATTCCAAGAAGCCAGATCCTCCGCCGCATAGAATCCAATATGGCGTCGGCGTGTCCTCTTTCCCGTCACACCGACATGCGAATCTTTCATTTCCCCGGCAACGCTATTGTCAAACTAAAACGGAATCCGCGCTGAATCGCGCGTACACTCGCTAACGAAGCAGACTTCTGCTATTGGAATAATATTTAACGCGTCCGGTTCAGACAGAAACATAAACACAGCCTGAACCGGTAGAACGAAAACACGACAAAGTCTGAAACGGAGTCTCCGCAAACCGCGATAATCCCGCTGCAAACAGATAGAAACGCCATTGTTATAAATAATACTCACATTTCAAAACCATGATCAGGCTAGATGCAAACGAAAACTTTCCAAGTTCAAACGAATAGTCCGCCATTATTGATACAGGCCCTCGGGAATCGAAGAAAATGGCGCCCGCTAAGTTTCTCCTAGAACGAAGTTCCAATTAAATATCGCTTATCATTCAACCTCTATAAAAACAGTATAATATATTAATCTCTATATCGCGTTACTATCAACAAAACAGGTTATCCTACCTTTTCTGCATTAGAGACAAAAGTTACGTTGATTCTTCATCAGTGGCTCCTAATTAACACATCGACTGCCACGAGAACCTGCAACGCCTTATTGATTCTTCCATAGGAAAGTTAATTAGAAACAATCGTTGATTATTCGGTATCACAATTTTTAAGTTACACTATTATCTAGTTACCGTATCAATTATCTTACATATCTCAATCGTTTCCAAACAATTCGAAAGCGCCGATCATCGATGACCACCATGCCGGCGAACGTATCAACGGAACACGAGCATTACCAACGAGTTCCCGCCTCCGAGAAGGGGAGCAAACACACGTGCACCTTCCGGCTGGATTTAGGTGTGATTTATCCGTACGCAACTGCAATTAAAGACGATCTCGGAATACGCAGTCGCCGCGGCTTCGGCCGAGCCGCGATCCCAGGCGCCGGAATTAACGTTTTATCAGTGGCGCCTGAGGAGAAGCACACGCGAAAAGTTTCCGACCGGCGACTCAAGGCGAAACAAATATACTTCATTTGCTCGCGTCCCGTGTTGACACTTCGCATTCGACTCTGTCGAAGTTCATTACACGCTACGCCAAGGCGTCTTTGTTGCACCGGTGATTCGCGGATCGTCGCTCCTCTGTTTACACGAGGAAATATTCGCGAGCAAGATCCTTAATAGACGAACGTTAATCGCGACACCCTTTGAATTTTTCTTACTAATCTAGAAATTTGTCACGTCAGGGTTTCGGTATTGTAAGATTCCGAAGTGTTAATTCAATTTTTCGCTACCGTAGAAGCAGATTTTCAGGTATCGTGACGTTCAGACGATTCCCAAAACCGTTTATCACGAGTCTCCAAGGTCTACGAGGGTTCGACACGTTCAGCCGGATCGTTTCGCAGATATCCAATTATACATAGCTAATTATCGCGCGAGTTAAGCGTTTAACGACGAAGCGCGGTTCTATTTGCTCGTCTCATTCCATAATTAAGCGATCAATCTCGTTGCTGAAGACTTTCTATATTTAAAGGCGAATTACAGGCGGCGTGCACTGTTTGCAAGGATTCCGTCGCGTTCCCGCGCGCCGTAACAGTCACTTCCGATAAAACATTTAATGGTGTAGCAATAACATTACCGGCGTGATAGCAAATTATCGCGTTACGACGCCAAAACAATGCAGCGCGCGGTTCGCCGCGGAACGCTTCGCGGCCTACCGAACCCAGCGGCTCGTCCTATCGCCGGCCGAAACCGCAAAAACGTCGCGAAAAGCGTGGCAAATTAATGATTAACCCCTGACAATTCCGCGGGAAGACCTGGCGTTAATTGGCATCCGTCGTATCGCGAATCGTTAACCCCTAACGTTAAGGCAAAACGAAGATCGATGAACTCTTCGAAACGGTCTATTAATAGAACCGCGAATGTCTGCGAGGATAATCGCTGATGGACCGATCGAACGATTCGTCTAGCAGCCTCCGCGATGAAAGAAAAATCCAAGATCAAATGCATATCCGTATCAGCATGTCTGACCATAATTGCAAATGAATAATGCATTTGCGCGTCAGGATCAAGTCTAATAAAGCCTCAGACGCGGTACACAACCGCGCCGAAGGAACAGGTATTTGCGCAAGCGTCTCATTCACACCGTGTCTAGTGATAACTAAACTGACATTCAGTGCTATAGAAACGTGGGTCTGCGTAAGCCGATTTTGTCAGTAATGACGAACTATCATAGATAGCGGCGTCGTGCCCGTCCGCCGCCACTAGCTCCTCGATCCTCCGACAGGTCATCATCGGCTTCTAGCATGTCGAACGCGAACGGCAGAAGGGTGAGAAGCTTGAACGACATTCCGGATGTCTTCAGGAACTCGAATCGAAGGAAATACAATGCCGAGCCGAGGATCCTCCAGGTTTCTTTGGAGAACCTGCTGGAACTGATCGAGGAGTTCTACAGGAACAAGAGGAACATCGCGGACTTCTTGATACGTGGAAAAGAGGATACAGACAGAGGCACGCCGAGAATCGAAATCCGACCGAAGGCGGAGGATTCAACGGTAATTAGAAATTCATTCGTTAGATATTCCTTGAAATAACCGAGTGTCCGCGCGCAGATCGATCCCGCGGCCGATTCCAGCTTAGTGGAGAGGTTCATCGAAGACGAGTCTTCGAAGAATCGACGCGAGTTCGTCGGGAGAAAGAGGTTCAAGGAGAATAAGAGAGTCTTGTGCATCATCGATGCGATTCTCTCGATGCTCCTGATTTCTCCGATGGCGATCGGCTTCTGGAGAGGAATATGGACGTTGATGGACATCTATGGTGAATGGTGAGTTTCGACGGTAAATCGGTTATTATTATATATTAATACGAATCGCGTTAGTGAAATATTTCAGATATATTTCACCTTTCCCTCGATAAACGTTACGAAATCAATTCTTACCATCGAACGAAACGATCTTGATTTTGATGTCGACGTTACAAGGTTCCCCGGAGTTCCGACCTTCCTTCTCGGCACCCTGATACACGCGGTGTTCGCGATTTTCAAGAATTTCCTGCACACACACCTGTACACCGCGTCACGGAAGAAAAACTGCGTAAGAAGGGCGTCGTTCAAGTGCCTTCAAATTTTCTACACGTACGTGTTCGGCGTGGCCTGCAACGCGCAGTGGCGCGGCGGATGGATCATCTTCGACCGCTACTTCGGCGGCCATGTTTGGTGAGTCGATTAACGCCCCGGGATCACCGATACTCCAGATTAAATATTGAATTTCGATAGACCGCTGCGCCGCGAACGCGTTGAAAACGCTCGAGGACGTTCGGTAATTATCGATACAAGTGTAATCGTTGTTCTTACGTGGGAATACCAATTTACTTTCGTTTTAGAGGCCACGGGTCGTCGTGTCGCTAGCGTACGGCCGGCGAGCTGGTTCCAGACGCGATGGAAATAGATTGTTAATCTCCTTCAACACTTTCGTGTCTTACGCTAATCTTGTTTAATATGTTTGATGCTAATTCCGCGTGGTCGATACAATAACATTGTGCATGGACAGTGTAGTCTGAATGAGAATGATCAAGGATTAACATTAATAATGATATTACTGAATTTTCGCGTCGCATGGAAGAGAGCTGTAAATGATATTTGGATATTATTCATCGCTCGATCCAGTTGTTAGTTGGCAGCACGTTTTTTACTAACAATTTCCTTTCAGGATAACGACGGGTGTACTGTTAATGGTACTAACAGGTTTGGCAGTATTGCGCTCCGTTCGAAACGTCATCGCGGTTCCTTCGGTCATCTTCGTTGACAAGCTTGCGTTTGTGTTCTACTTTCCAACTAGGTATAAATCGGTGAGTATCAACTTTGCATTGCCCAATAGAACGATCAAGAGATCATTTTTAATTTTGCGTGACTGCGGTTGTTCGTCGGGATTGTTTACATTAACAGGTTGTTACTGAAGTAACCCTGTTCAACTTTAAATCGAGTGAACGACACAAAGAGAAACGCGGGGAATATAATGTCTCTTGATGTCGCAAATCTTCCAGTGAATCTTTGCGAAACGATTCCGCTTATGGGAATGTCGGTGCCAGTGTATGTCAAAGGCAAATGTTTATTATCGCACAGCGTTCCGATTACAAACGTACTTCCCCGTGAGAAGGAATTAATCAATTAACGGGATCGCTCCGGGGGAAATCGGTGATCGCTTATCATCGATTATCTCGTATTTCGTAACGTTATTTGGAGCAATTACGCCCAACCGACGAATCGAACGGTCGCCGTTATCGTGAACAGCCCGCTGTTCCACGCGAAATTGCATAACCTGTTTAGTAAACATTTTAATGGCACTCATTCGATGCTCTATTACCAAGAAGTATAACTATCGCTTTATCTTAACAAGCACGTTATCTGCACGCGGTTTATTGAAGCCCGTGAATCACTAGAATTGCATACCTATTTTTGCGCAACGAGAGTGCCGCATCGAAATCTCACGTGTCATTTGTTTAATCGACACAGCAACAACTCTCTTCGCCGGCTAGAATGTTCCTTGCGATCTCGCATGCGAATGCGGATTATCTAAACGCTTCGAGATACTAGAATATTCTTCGGTATCCACCGAAAGTATGCGTTCTCGCCTCTTACTTTCGGTGTTCAGTTAAACCGAAGAGTTATCAGTCCATTCCTCTTTCATAATTTCAAATACTCCATAGATCTATCCACAATCGACGTTTCATAATTCTCCAATATTCGAGTTATCTCCTTTTCAAACACAAATCCTACTCACTGAAAATTCGAAACTTTTATCAGTCTTTCAACCGTCGACCTCGACGTTCAATCGTTTCGCGATTCAAGAAAAGTACTCAAGAAAATCGAATCCTATGCTGTCTACGTATGTATATGCAACGATTCGCTGCCGAGTTCGCCGGATCGTTCGAACGCGGCGGCCATTTTGCAGCCAAAAAGGAATGGCGCGCCGAGGGAAGAGGAAAAACGGACCGCGGGGATTCGTTTTCGCGTGTAAACGAGCGACGTCGCGGAAAACAATTGACGGGTCAAGGTGAGAGTGGATCTCGTCGTAATCCAAGCTTGATTGGCGCACAAAAAGATGCCGATTAACGACGAGTTCGGCGCGACAAAGGCCCGATGAATCGGGCGGACAGGAAACGCCACTCAGAAAAATGAGGCTTCAAGGTAGCTCGCGACGCGCGCCGCGGCCACTTCTCCGGCCACTATCTTGTTTCTTATCGATCAGAAACACCGGTTCCGGAATTGCTAATCAACGGCTGCGTGTCGCGTGTCTCTGCGCGTCGATCACGATCCACGCGGCTGCCATTTTGGTGCTGTCGCGTAGCGACCCATTCAAACTCGAAGACGGATCCGGTGTCGCAAATTGTTCCTGATCAAACGCCGAGATTGAGTTCTAGGGGTTTTTGTCGTACAACGCAGGGAATTGGCATTGTTATCGTCATAAAGGTTAATGATAATTGTAACTGAACATGTAATTCTATTCTAGATTAATACTGATTGATCTAGAATAGGAATTAGTATGATTCTAGATGTTCCTCTGCAGAATTTCCCATGGTTTGCTGAAAGTTTGATGAAATTGCTTCTTATTTCTGGAACACTAGCGATTCGTGTTTTGGAAATAGAGTTTGAACGAAGTACTATTGGAGATTGAAGCGGTTGAAGCTGAGCTTTCAAATGAGGAGCTGAGCTTTGGAAGAGATGCTTCAGAATTCGACGCGAGTTATCTTTATATCAGAACCAAAGGAAATGACTGGATTATTCGAGCCTCAACAAGCACGTACTTGAAGTCCAAATTGAAATGCAATATCTCCGATAAACGTTCGTAATCCGAGCGGCGAATCGACGGCCTCTGCGATCGTACACAAACAAAAATCTCGAGAAACTAGCAGCAGCGCGACATCATTACTCGCTCGTCAGCCCAGAACCATTCGCCACGATTCACTGAGACAGAAAAGAACGATTCCGACTCGGAAAAGAATGCTACGCTTGCGCGAGGCTCGTTTCCTCGCTGGATCTTTGCATTATCCAATTAGATTTATTAGGATTCAAGGTCCGCGCAGATCGGACCGAAAGTTCCCGGGAAGCTGGGAACCGGCCGGTCATCGTCGAGCGAGGATCTCGCAGCGGAAGGGACGCGACGTTGCCTATTTCAATAAACTGAATCAGAAAAAATTACCTATCAACCTATCGCTTTAATTATCACTTCGTCTGCCAAGTAAGTAACCATCAAAACTCCCATGCACTCGAGACAGTTCTCTGAATAAATCAAAAACTAACGGGGCAAGATTCAACGAAACAACACATATTCAACGAAACTTCGATGCGTCATCAAGAAAATGATCAAGATAAAAATGATGTCACGTATTCGGACATGGCAGCCAAAGTGTCAAACATTAAAAACAAAACAATCTATCCATTCCATTGCTCTATCAATCCAATACAAAACATCATTATATTCTCGCCATAAAAAATTCCCACCACTTTTACCCAAGTCGCAGGTCTAAGATCTGCAACGAACCATTCCCATCTTGTATCAAGCGACAGACGCTCTACAATCTGACGCCTGGTGCACGTCACGGAAGCGTCCTAAAATCTAATGAAAAAAACGAAACAACATCCCTCTGGTAGCAAGGTCTCGAAATGTCACGGTCCGTTCGTCCCTCCCCGTTTCGGGCCTTCTTTCCCCGTCGTCAGCCGGGTGTCGAAAGCCACGCACGGGTGTCCCCGCGCTCGTTAATCAACGGTAGCGTAGCTACGGACAGCGGCGGCGGCGGCGGCGGCGGCGGCGGTGGCGGCGGTGGCGGCGAGCACGGTAGCTTTACACACGGGCGGCCCACGTGGGTGGGGGTTGTCGGCGAGATCGCGGAAGGAAGGGAAGAGTGCAGAGCACCGTACTCTATTCTCTATGCCATGGCCCGTTGTGACGAAGCCGTTCATGATAATGCGATAGTGTTGGTCCGTGCTTAGCACTTGATAAAAGATAGCGGTGACTGAACAGATGCCAGTACTCACCCGCAGCCCGACCTGTCTGTGGCTGAGCAGCCGCGTCAACCCGCCCCGTGTACTCGCCACGCCATCGGTCCGCCATCGCCGTGACGCCGATCACCGCGAGAGCACAGTGCCAGCGACAGGGATAAAACCGAGAAGCCATCATCCCGAGGGAATCCTCTAACCCACCAGGTCCAGCTGCCTGGACGCCGTGCTCTGCCAACGAAGATGCGCGGGATGGCGGAGTCGCGCAACGTTGCCTGAGGATGGCGAGGAGCGAGAGGACTGCTGCGGAACGACGGCTCGGATAGTACCCAGGATCCCGTAGGATTACCGAGGGCACACTTTCGAAGCAGACACTTCGGGGAGGATGATCATTGCGGTCCAGCGGCAGTACTACTTCAAGAAGATCCGCTGCAAACGCTGATACGGCTGCGCTCTCGCCTCTGCTCGCGTCTCGCGCGGAGAACCCGGGGAATGTCGATGGACACCGTGACCGAGGTCCTAGGAAGTGCTACGGGAGCCAGGTTCCATGTCAGGGAGCGGTAGGCGAGTTCAGAGTAACCTTCGGGAAGAAGGGAATCCAGTTACGATAGGAGACTCGAGCAGTCTCGAGGTTGAGCACCGAGATACGTCCTCTAATCCTGAAGTGATTCGATAGAAGCCGCGAAGAGCGACGTAAACGAGACCTGCATCGACACGATTGATCGACCTCTAACTTAGGGACAGAGGTGTACACCCGTGAATCGAGTTTCCCCGGCACAAAGAAATGCGGCGGTCGACGGCTGCAGGGCTGCACCTGAACAGCGAGGGCTCCGCCGCGGCCTCGAGTCATGCATGATGAGCGGTGCGACTAGGCTCGATCAGGATTGGATGAGAATGGTCGAGTTACGCGGCGGCACCGGGATGACGAGCGGGCTGAGCGGCAGGTCCTCGAGCCGCCTCCATTACACGATCCTCACGATTCTGGACACGGTGTTCTCGGCGACCGTGGCCGCGCCCGCGGTGGTCGGCTACTGGCGAGGCACATGGGGCCTGAGCAACGTCTACATGTACCCCGACGACCTGGTGCTCAGCAACTTCACGTCGATCCTGATCGGATTCATTGGCCTGTTCGCCTTCAACGTCTCGCAGAACGCGCTGAACGAGCTGCTCCACCCGGACAAGCACAGGCTGTCCTACTACGTCGGCTCCAGGCTGTACACGGCCGTATTCGGGTTCTGTTGCGTGAACGCGTGGCGCGGCGCTTGGCAGGCCCTCGACCAGTACACCGAACTCACCCCCAGCACGGTCTTCGCCACCACCGCCGTCAGCCTGCTCGCGCTGGCCACCATGCGCGCCGTCAGGAACATCTCCGCGCCGCCATTCTCCCTTTGCCTCGACTCTTGTCCTGGATACTTCGAAGTGCAGACCATGTTCCGCGTGAATGTAAGTACGCCCGCTGTCTTCGCGGGGTTGCTCTCTCTCTCTCTCTCTGGAACCAACGCGGGGATGTTAGTTTAGGCTGTCGTCTCGGTTTCGGTACTCACTGCGGGATTATGTCGCATATGTAACGATGAACTTGCGATATTTCTGCTGCCTGTAATGCTGCCCGTGTATTACATAGTATACGTTGTAAGCAACATTGTAAGCAGGTTGTATAGGAGACACTTGTGCAGATCGTGGAGGTCATCTCGTCTGTCGTCTCGGTTTCGGTACTAACTTACTGCGAAATTGTCGCATATGTAATAATGAATTTGGGGTATTTCTGCTGGCTATATTGTTGTCGGTTCATTGCATAGTATACGTTGTAAACAACATTGAAGCAGGATGTATAAGAGACACTTGCTCTTGTGCAGATTGTGGAGGTCATCTCGTCTGTCGTCTCGGTTTCGGTACTCACTTACTGCGAGATTATGTCGCATATGTAACGATGAATTTGGGATATTTCTGCTGGCAATATTGCTGTCCATGTATCACATAGTATACGTTGTAAACAACATTGTAAGCAGGATGTGTAGGAGACGCTCTTGTACAGATTGTGGAGGTCATCTCGTGTACAACGAAGAGTAGAGTCGACAGTTGCGTAGGTTTTAGGGTTCTAGATGTTCGAGGGTTTTGGGGATTTAGAAGTTTCATCGGTGTTTTGATATCGTTGCAGCTGGCTTCGTTAGGGGTCAGTATCAATGAGCCTTTGACACTTGATGAAGCTAGCTACAATGATGGAATGGGAGAACTTTGAGCACTAACTATAAGTAGATTTATGGTTAACTTGTAGTTCTATGGTGTATAGGGATGTAGGATAGAGGATCAGGTAACTTTTGGCAAGCACATGTATTACGGTTTTTCTTGAAATATTGAAGTTCTTTGGAAATTTTAATGAAAATGGAGTTACGTAATTGATATTACTCATGGCATGTTGCTCCATGGAATAGTCTGGGAATGTTATTAAAAGTCTATACTACTTACGTCTAAAAAATTTGTTCTTATCGCTGGAAGATTGATACGAAGTAATATTGTCAGCTTAATTATAAAGTAGAATATAATTGTACAGTGGTTGATACGTCGATGATTGATGCCTGATTGATGATCATTGGATTCTCGTGGGCTTAAGAGCAAGCTTAAAACGATCCCAGAAAGAAATGACTGAAAGGTGGAAAATCCAGTTAGCATAATGAAAGGTGGCCGCAGCAAATTGCAGTATATAACGTGACTGATATCGGTCATTCGGAAATGACGATGTCTCCACACCTGAACGAGATTGCGGAAAATTTTCTGCCCCTGCAACGATAACACCGTGTACCCTTTATCTTCTTAGGTTATCCTCCGACGACTTGCTATTCCGTTTCACCTATTACCGCTAACAAATAGATCAATCATAGTTCACGTAAAACTCAGAATACCAAAGCAAACATATTTCTTCGCAGCGATCCAATGAATGAGAAATACAATCAACACAAGAACAAAACAAAACAAATGACATATTTATCTTGTAACGCGAAAGACACACGAAATATTAAAAACGAGAACTATCTATTGGTCATCTATTCGAATGACTTAATCGTATCTTAACTTTGTATCTCAGATATAAAACTATATCCCTAAAATCTTCGCAGAGATTTCAACGAAAATCGAACATGATCGAACGCAGTTTCAACCGTTCCCAATAGAATGTCATTTCACCGACGTCAAACTTTCTCGTTTCAATTGCCAAGTTGCAAACAGAATTTAACATTTATCTACCGAAACAGCAAGAAACTACACAGTTCCCTTCTCCATCGTTTCTGCATCGAATATCCAATCGAACGGAATCCACAGATTTTGTACACGCAGACGGCTAATAATAGCAGAGCTTTTGAATATTCGAAAACGTTCCGTTCCGCGAAACGGGTGAAGTGTTAAGTAGGAAACGTAAGAGCTTAGACGGTGCATTTTGACGCATCGCCGGAGCCCGAGTTACGCGTTGCACGGCATCGATGTGTAAGGTATAAGCGCAGTTTCCGGCTGTCTCTCCCGACAGTTCGAACAGCATCGCGTCCGTGCAGTTTGCATTAGCGCGAGCGAGCGCAGCCTCCAGCTGCACCAATTTCTGTGCCGCTCGTTGCGCACGCTTTCTCCTCCACGTCGGAACAACGATCGTTTTCCTTTCGACGACCGACATTTCCCCGGAATTCCAATTCCGGCGATTTCCTGCCCTCGCCGAGCGTCCACGCGCGCGCCGAGCGACACTCCTTTGACATTGAACTTTTAATGCCACGTATCTTGACCTTAAAAGCCTGGACGCCTAATTGACTCTCTTTCAACTTCAATTCTCCTTCGTAATCAGCTTACCTTGAAGTTGAACGGCGCACGTTTCTACGCTGGACGCTACAGCGAAATTCCTTTCACGACGAATCGTCGGCGTCGCGCGTTTTAACGACGGAAACGATGTTTATCGTTTAGGCGGTTGATCCGTGGAAATTTCTCTAGAATACCTTGCGCGCGTTGTTCCTTTGGCATCGCGGTTTCAACGAGTGTCGCGACCTTCGGTCGAGCAGTTTGTGTTATCGTTTTCAGTCGAATGGCTCGGGGACTGGTGTTGAGAATTTTCAATTAGATTTTTCGTTAGACGTCCGCGTCTGTAGATCGAAGCGCTGTTGTCGATGGATCGTTCGAGAATGTTTAGGACTCGGTGCGAAATCAACGGAGACAGTGGAACGAATCTTGACTTAATTGTCGTCAGTTGAGTCCTCTCTGTCAGTTAAAAATCGAGGACAGAAGGGTGTCATGCGAAGTAATCGGGCGAGTACACGCCGTGGCGGGTTCACCTCGTGAACGGTTCGTGCACCGGAAGATCCTTTGCAGATCTATTATCGAAAGGAATCGCGTGGCCATCGATCGAAGGACCACCGATACTACGAACGGAAATATTTCACTCGAAAACACCATCGAACGTTCGCAATACGAAGCGTTTCCACGATGCAATGTTTTTTCGAATTTCTTGCCTATCCATTTTTTTTTTGTTTTAGGCGAATCGATTGAATATTTTTGTACTGTTTCCTTCGGCGATTTTCAGTTTCAGTGGCAACGCGATACCGCCGCAATATATCCCCTTCGACACGCCAGCAATTTACTGTTCAATGAATCAGTGAATTTAGGGAAGCGTGACTTGGCGATCCGCGCGAAAAAAGAATCTACTGACGCTGCCAATGACGCGGTGACACCATTAAAATCCGAGGCGCGACACGTTTTCCCGATTGTTTATTAATCTAATCGCGATCGGGCCCGTCGCTCGAATAATTTTCATTTCCCGTTCACTTTGGGATCGAGTTGAATCGAATTGAAAGTCAATCGTAAGCAGATTCAAATTGAATTCGAACTGAGCTGAAATTGAACTGAAACTGAATCGACACTGAATTGAAATTACTTTGAAATTTCACTGAAATTGAATTGGAATCCGTTAAAATTCTCAAATGAACAGGAACTAAGCGACACTCGATATTCGTGAAACAATTGAATGCCAGACACTACGCTGGAAATTGAAACTTAGAAAAGCTTTAAGGCAATAAACTTTTATACTCGATTACCACTTTCCGAACGAACCAACACTCGTGACATCTAAATTCAGCTGTACGATAAATGAAACTAAACTTAATTCGCTCATCAATCTGCAGAATTTAACTGGGATGAAAAATCTCGTTAACAGAGAAGTTTCTATACGAGAAGAAATTCTACTGCATGATATTACGTTCATTGATACCTGTCATAAACGCATACAATCAGCAGTCTTTAAGACAATAAACTTTTATGCTCGATTACCGCGACTTTTCGAACGAACCATCACTCGTGACATCTAAATTCAGTGTACGATAAATGAACGAAAAACTTAATTCGCTCGTCAAGTCGCAGAATTTAACTCGGATGAAAAAATCTCGTTAACAGAGAAGTTTCTATACGAGAAGAAATTCTACTGCATGATATTACGTTCATTGATACCTGTCGTAAACGCATACAATCAGCAGTCTATGTGTAAGTGCATAAAAATCCGGCGGTACAGCCGTAAATAACGTTCGATATAGACAATACTCGATCGTCAATCGCAGAACGTTGCTTATCATAGTTCCCGAGTCTCCTCAAATATTTCCCGAGCTCTCGCCCGCAGATCACGCTTATCTATTGTTTATGTTGTTTGATTGCAGAACACGAGAGACTGGTCGTTGTACTTATTGGATTGTGCGTTCAGCGTTGGTGTCGTTGGTACCCTGGTCGTGTTCGTGTGGAGGGGTGTTTGGATACTCGTGGATCTCTATCTCTTCCCGGATGATCGAAAGTACTCCGCGATCGGGTCCCTCGTAAGCGTGGATTATCATATTTTCTCAATTAAAACGATCATTCATTCACGATGCAACGCAACGATACATTTCCTCTTTGACAGCAGTCGGAAGCTTCGTCGACACACTGACGATTATTAACAGCAGAACCGTTAACTATTTTAAATGTAGAGAAACTAATTAATTAATAGTTTCTCAGAAAACATCTAGACTCGTTTAATACAGAAAGAACGAATAGATTGTTTCGTCTCACCTAGTAGTTCTACTGTTAATAAATCGTTACACTCATCATATTCATTTATCTGTTCATCATAACAAAATGTTATTTATTATAGTTGTTTATCACACTAGAATAGCAAGGATGTTTCAGGAACGTACTATTCGCGTACTCGCACAGTACTGTTTACAAACGTCTTGCCAAACGAGTTCCATTCGTATACCATAAACTTGTACATATTTATAAATTCTCCCGAAACCTTCTTGGCAAGCAGACTCACGAACGCGAACGTATTGAAACAACGAAGTAAACGCGCGAGCATAAATCGTGGTGCTTCCGACGTTTATTTAAATGCGCATCTCGGTGGACGAATTTATTTCGGAAATGAACTCGGAAAGTTCCGCGGCGAGTCCGCGGCACCGCGTCGGGAACGATTCTCGATCGGCGTCGCTCGGCGCGGAATCGTCGTTGGAAATGAAAACGCGCTCGCCTGGTCGTATGAGGATCCGATGGAATCGATGAACGCGTGTCGTCGGGTGTCATTAGCAATCACGTGTTGAACGACATTTTGAAACGTGCCACCTACGCACCGTGCGCGAGCGGCACGCCGTTGGTCCGATTGTATAATTGAATATTCGCCAATTGCATGATTGCGAGGGCACATGACAAAACTGCCGATGCGTGTGTGCGCGCGTAACGGACTTTATTGCAGACCGCGTTTACTTGTCTGAATGCGGCGCGCGGAGAACGCGGTCAACGAGAGGATTTGTTTAATTTTTCAATAATCACGATCGTTGATCCTCCGGCACGGCCAGTCGTCCCGGCGTGTTTTATTCGAAATTACACCCTCGAATTCACGGACCGCCGTCCAGCGACCGTTCGCACAGGCGAACGCCGCTTTCTCGCTTGGGAAAAGTCGGATGCGATCGAGAGACGGAACAAGCAACGAGCAAATTCAATTTTCTTAACTGGAAGAAGCTTTAACTCTTTGCGCTCGGAAGATTCTCACTAGTCTAACATTTTTTGACTATAATAGTATAATCGTACTATGATATGATATTCTTTGAAACGAACTCGAAGGAAATCGCAAGTATATCGAGGAGCAAAGCTATTTTATTCTAGTGTTTCACGTATCTAGGCTTTATACAAAGTTCAACAGATATAGAATTTTATAGTTTTACCGCGTCAAGTCAAATGGCGACTGAGGCAAAGGGTTAAAGGATATTCTAAGTTTCTTCGAAATTTTATCGTGTTGCGCAGATCATCGGAAGATAATATGAAGCTCGTCCGACAGTAAAGAAAGGGAAAATTGCGAGACTATACGAATTACAATGAAATCCACTTAACTTTAACGATCGTTAGACACTTTCCAAAGCTTCGCGACAGTACTGTCTCCAGAAAGTCTGAAATTTCGACGTTTGTCTTCCACGAAACCCTTCAGTAGCCTGAAACACCTACAGATCCTAAATCCGCGACCCATAGAGACCGGAATTGAGCCGATTTCCCCATAGACCTCCGGCAACCTTCGTCGCCGAGCAAAGAAGAGCAAGACGAACGGCGACACGCGGAATCGTTCCGTTGCAAAACGATGTTCAACCGGCGCCAGGTAGCCGATCCAGACAAATAATAACAATGTTCGGTGCCTGCGTGTCGCGCGCGCGCGAACCCAGGCGATCTCCGATGATCGACGAGCCGATCGAAACGTTCCCGCGGCTGAAAACAATTTCGACGCGACGCGCGTCTCGCCGATGGGGATCGCTCGATAAGATTCTACTCCGTTGGTAGACCGAGCCACGTGAGAATCCTCCGTTATCGGGGGTACGAGCGAATTTCAAACCGGCGCCGGATCAACCACCTTTCCGTCGGGCGTATCGGCCGCCGGCGATCTCGCGACGATTCGTAACATTCCGATTTCGATAAAACCGCGCGGCGGGCAGCCCGTAAACAAAATTTCGTGGCGCCATGCCGCTTCCATCGCCAGACGGAAGCACGCGGCAATAATTATCAGAGGTTTGCCGCGCGAATTATCGCGGATCGCTTTGGCAACAAACGAGATCTTCGGCGCGACGCGGCGAGACGCGGCGGGACGCGAGGCGACGCGGCGATCGGGTTTCGTCGAGTTGCTACAGGAAGTTCGCTGATTCGGTTCTTTTCGATAATCTGATTCGCCGCGGATAAGATTCTAATTGATTCGCTCCTGGGAGGGGAACTTGGGGGACAGCGTCGCTGCGACTGCAACGATGCTCTGCCGATTTCGGATTGGCATTTGCTGGGGATTGGGAAATTTTCGAACAGCTTCTTGGCCGTTGGTTGTTGCTTTTAAGGGATTGTTGTTGCGTGTATTTAAATATAATTGATTTACGTATTTCGCTGAATTTGTAGTTCGCAAGCGAGATTTTCGTCTGCTGCTGGTGTTCTCCGGATTTTCGGGTTGCTTAATGTTCGCTGGTAAAACTGGTGAAGCGACGGTTTTCATTTTGAGTACTTATTGCTAGAGGCTTCCGATTGTATATATTTGGGTAAAGAATGTCAGTCGAAGAATTACCGGACGGCATAGAGGGATTCGCGAAGCGTTTCTCCGCGTCGGATCCATTGAAACGGTCGCGATCGAAAGAATCGACCGGCTTATCTGAGATCGACGCATCAGCTCAAAATGTAAATCCTCGGGTAAATATAACATCGATAAGAGTAGAATCATTGTTATTTATGAAATGATAATGGAATTTCAAAATTACGTAAACTCCGCGCCTTTCGAGAATACAGAAAACATTCCAAAAATTCTCGATACCTTATTTTCAATTATAGCAAGCTCTAATACCCGCAGAATCTACCTATTCTTAAAACGAAATATCGTCGCTTCAAAGCATTAACGCTAGATTCGCGGAACCCATCAATTTCACGGGTTCATTCAATCCCATGAACGTTATTCGGTAAACGTTTCGCAATGATACTTCTAATTCTAATCCCAATCCTCCAATACCAATTCTCCAGCGTCGAAGCTCAAACTTCCAAGATCTATTGAACTATTTCCCCAAGAACAACGCAACGAAGCGTACGATAAACGGCCGTAAATCTATCGGCGAGAGGAGCTCCAGCCGACACGGCCGCGCGATGATCGCGATAACGCGGATCCTCAAGAGGGTCGATGATTGCGCGAGGGTCGTCCAAATCGGCCGCATTTACCCGCTCGCGATGCCGCCGCGCCGCTTCGGAACCGTGAAACCGCGGCCCGCCGCGATTTGCTGAACGATTCAACTGATTCGCTGAAATCCCCGGCCAGACCGCGCGAACGTCATCCCGGACCGTTTTTCTCATTCGTGCCAACTGGATCGAATGGCAGAGGCACCCGGCCGCGTCTACGATCGGACGGATCCATAAAACCGACGGAACGCGAAACAACCTGACAATAAAACAGACCAATTGCGAGGGAACGCGAAACCTTGGGAACACATCCAAGACGACGGTCTTTACCTTTACCTTCCGACACGCGGAACTCGTCGGTCGGACTGCCAACCAGGCGTGACAGCTCGATTTCACCTCTACGTTGAACCCTCTAACGCGCGAATTCTCTGTACGAGCAAATTGAGAGGTTCCAAGTCGAGCGTCTTGTTTCCGTTTCACCGACTTGAAGTTATGCTCGTGACGAAAGTTTCTTGTTTAGCTAGTTGCTGTATGCTGCGTTTGTCAACTATGACTGATACTACCTTGATATTGAGAATTCTAGACATACTCTATGACTATATACAGCAAACTCTAAAGTATAATACACGATAGCAGAAGAAATATAAATACTACCCAGTCCTTTTCAATTCAAATGAATATTAATGCTTGTCAAATTCTGTTTACCTCGACTACGTGCCCGATACATACACAAGGGAACGAGTTGAAAGTCATACTGTCCAGAACACAGCGTAGATCTAAGGTCAATAAGACTCCTAAGACACTAAACTTAACAGCAACCTTCAACATCACCCCAATATCGCGTTCAGCTGAAAGATTCGAAGCATTCAGCTCTCTCCAAAAAGTAGCAAAGCAAAGTTCGAGTCTCACGGTGCCATCGTCTAGGGTTCCCATCCGCCGCCAACCGATCCCAAGCAATTTAGATCCCGCCGATCGGCCGGCCATTACAACGGAACGCGTCACCGCGGCAATTTGATAATCGAAGCTGGTTGGCAAATCGGTCTCCGAACCGGGCCACGCGACGATGTAACCGCCGGTGATCGGCGTCATTCTCACGATAGCGTCACGCGATCGATATAAATCGGATTCTGCGAACGCGGTCCTAACGGTTGGCACGTCGGATTGCAGGCCATCGGGTACGTGATCGTGACGGTGACGTTCTCTCTGCAACCGTTGATGAGATACGTGTGCGCGCGTCTTCAAGGCCTCGCGCGGCTGGTCGCCGCGGACGGCTTCCTGCTGCTCAGCTTCCTGGGCACGGTGAACGTGTGGCGCGGCATCTGGAATCTGCTCGACCTCTGGCTGGTGCCCAGCAACCTGGAGCTCTCCTGCTGGATCACCCACGTCGGCTGCTTCGTTTTCCTCGTGCTGCTCAACTGCAGCAACTCGATCCTCGTGCGCGGCGTCTACATCGACGCCGAGGAGGACGACGGGAAGTGCGTCGTGTTCCCCTGCCACTATCTTCGATTGTTCTTCAAGGTTCGTAGCTGGATACACGATCGAAATAAACTGTACGATTAGATATTGCAGGTGGCAAATATTTCGAATAGTAACGCGAATTTCTTGTGATCGTTTCATTGGTCGGAAGTATGTATTTCGTAGCAGTTAATGTATGTATGATAACGATTAACAGCCGAACCTTGTTCTAAGGAAAGATATCACTTTGTTACTTTCCGATACGAGTCGAAGCGAAAGGCGCAGATTGACAGAATTGCATAGATAGAAAACGAATTAACAGTTCTATTCTAGAATTTGAGGCTATTCGAATAAGCGGAGTCGATCGGTTTAATCTACGGAAGACTCGATGACCCGAATGTCACGACGAAAGCATTGACCGCCGTTTGTCCGCAGGTCGAACGCGAAAAGAAGGAAGCAAGGCGACGGAACCTGCTGGTGGCCTCGAAGGACTTCCGGCCGCGGTCGGACGGAAACGCGAAGGACACCGAGAACGGAGCCCTCCTGCCGAACAGCGCGCCCGCCACCATCTTGCCAACGAGTCCCGAATCTCTCGTGTAACCCCGGGGATCCCCATCCTCGACGACCGTCGAGCGAAGACGCATTCCAACGAACAAGGACACGCGTGTCGAGAGTTTGTGCCCGACGCAGTGATCGTGCGGTGAAGTTCAGCGAGGAGCACGCGTTCCTCGGACTGCCCATGAAACTCCGCGGTCGCCGCGGTTTCTAAAGTAAGCGGATAGACGCGGCTAGCGCGATCTCGAGTAGCGAGATCGGTGTATAGATCGACAGGTAGATACGTAGACGGACGATCGCATAGACGCTTAGGAGACATCGATTAAGTTAGACGAGCGAGCCGATCGTGGAGGATCGACAGACCTGGGATCGGAGGAGATTGAACCATCGTGCAACTTGAGATTGGAAGATCGAAGGTCTCGTGGAGTTTTCATCTTGAGAGGATCGAACGACCGGTTGCAGGGAACCTGGCGCTCGACGTCACAGGGGCGGAGCCAGTCGCTGCGAGAGATCCAATTGCGGGTCCGGAAACGACGCTACGCTCCTCGTCGCGCGCGCCTCGGCCAATCAGGCGCGCGCCTTCGAATCTGACCACTCAGGCGAGAGTGCCAGGTTCGCCGCAACGGGCGGTGCGTTTTTCTTGGGATTGAAAGAGGATCGGAGGACTGGCCTCCGGATCTCGAAGGCAAGATCGGATAACTCTGCGTTGACTGCCGGAGCGAGAAGTGCGGATTCAGTGAACGACTGTGTACGAGTGCAGGAACGATTCGGTGATTCTCTCCGCGAGGAACGTTGCGCGCAAGAACTGTACGCGATTGTTGTGCTCGTGTATGGACGTTCGTGGCGCGAGTGCGGGTAGAGCGCCGGAGGAACACGCTTCGTCCTCGAGGATGCACGCGTTGCGATGTAAGTTGTACGCAAATCGCAGGGGCGAGCATATAAACAGGGCCACGGTTGTTCTGATTTCGATTATTCGGCTCAGGGCTGCTCGTTAGGCTCTTTAGACGCGGTATCCAGGACTTTGTTGAAAGATGAAATGTTGAAACGTTGTTGAGAGATTGTACTAGAGCTGAGAAGCGAAATGGAGTTCCCTTCTGTTGAGGGGTTCTGTTCGTTCCGTTAGGAAAAGTGAATAGAAAGAGTTTCTATGAAAGAAGAGATAAGAAAGCTGAACATTGTGGAAATTGTTGGACGATTGGAATAGATTTTCATCAAGACACACGCGTCTTTCGGATAGAATCACGTTCGATGTTCAATATTTATATACTCGCCGATGCGGTTGCTGTGTAACGCGTGCGCTGAGGATGATTCCGCGGGAAGAATGGAACACTGCGACTCGATAATTCGGGGGCGAACATTGAACAGTCCGAGTTTCGATTATCCTGGTCTTCCTCTTGCACGATCTGTTCTTACGATCGTCTAGTTCGGTTCGATACGCTTTGCAGCGTATCACTGAAGGCAGATTTAATCAAGGTCGGCTACCATTCGATACATCGAAATTCTCGCGTATACTCTACGAAAAATCACCGAGGACTGACAATCAAAAAATAGATCTATCCGCAACAACCCCGAATTCTCCAGCAAAAGTGTTCCCATCGCGAGACCGTCGCGATCCACGAGACACCGTCGATCCGACAGAAAATCCGTTCAGACGAGGATCGACGACGACTCGCTTAACCCCTTGCCTCGCATGCACGTTGTACTTGCAGCAGACTTCCAATAAAACTCAACGATCATAAATATTATTCGACTCTCGTACACGAATCAAACATTCCTGTTCTCAATGATTCCACCTTAGGAGACACATAGACTCGGAACATTCCTCGATAAATCGCTCGGAAACCAACGCGATTAAGTCGATTTCTTGACACTCTCTGATTTCTGTCGATTTCAATGGAATAAACAACATTCTTGTCAGTTACTAAAGGAGTTACTCGTCTCCTCGTTGTGCTCTAGGCCAGAGAATCCTTTCCATAGCTTCCGAATATACTGTGTAATCATTTCACAGGCTAGAACATTAATTTCCTCGACTCCTCTGGACTGAACCGCTTTGGCGCCCGTGTAATTGTCATCGACAACCTATCGATCGTAGCTAAGGAACGAATCAGGAGGCAAGGGGTTAACGGTCGATTCGAAGATTCCCAGTGATCGAAATTCCGATCGAATCTTCCTCGTCCCGGCGACTAAGCGCGCAGTCCGGCTCGGTCGCGTGGCCTAGCGCGGTCCTATCGGCTAGATGAGACCTTGATGATGACAATGGTAATAGACTGGACTGGACGACCGTTATAAATGGGTTATAACCTTCTCCCCCGCATCCTGTACACCCCGCGGATTTCGCTCTTGTGCATCAATTACGACGTCATGGCGTACTAATAATTAATTAACTGGAATAATGACGGGACAATGGGCGGCTGGGCGCATCGATGGGAAGTGGTTAGTTCGACGATAAGCGGCCTGCCCTCCTGGCCTACATTTAATATTTCCACAATGAACAATACCGTGTCGGAGCCGGAAGCGCGCCGCTCGGCCCGGGGAAACCGGAATCGTAAACGGCGATCGATCGCGGGACGGATAGAGGGAGATCGAACCTAGTCAAAATTGACGATCGTTCCGTTTGCGGCCTCCTCGGCCGAATCCAAGGGTGCCGCGCGCTCGGCGCGATTCATTCCGCGGGAGGAACACCTTTGTAATTTATAAGCTCGTGTATCTGCGACTTTTAACACGGAATATTTGATTGAAATAAAACGAAGAAATGGAAAAACGAAAGGGAGAGTTCAGTTCTGTTCCTCTGTCCCCTTACTCACCGTCGGAACTTTCATCCCCTATTGCGCTGGAAGATGCAGACTGGCAGCGACTAGCGAGAATTAGCTTCGCTTGAAGTGGAATCGATGCTTTACAGCAATCTGATTGACTGGTCGCGTCGAGCTGGATCTGAGCGTGGTTTAATCGATCTATTCATTAACCAGTTAACTGTGTTTGACGAGTATACGCGTCATCGTGAAGCTTGACACGATACCAATTCTTTCAGCGACTAATTCTTTATTTTTTCACATAAACATGTAACCCTTCTTTGTTTCGCTTTGATCTTTCATTAAAATATACTCTACGGGCGTTCGTCCTGCGTTCGATGAGTACACGCTCCATTTTTTTATTATATTCCGCGCAGAACGAGAGGTTTTTCCAACTAAGTTCCACAGTTAACTGGTTAAAATGCGAAAGTATGGTTGCACCGGCATTCGCTGTCTTAATGGCTGTACGCCTGAGTTCTTCGTTCTGTTTCGCTGACAGTGCGTTAGGAAAGGAATAAGAAAATTCTCGCAAGAAAAAGAGTCATCTTAATAGGTACCTGTGAACTTCCCATCTTCCTACCGAATCTATTTTCAGCGAATCATCAAACAGCATCGGGAAGTCTCGAAGAGTTCAGTCGGTTCGTTCAGAATCGAAGGGGAAATAAACCCTTAACGGACCGAAAGTGTTTCAAGCTGACTTACCGCGAGAAAACACCGTGACACAGATAACATGACACAGATTAATCGTAAATATTCCAACAACAACAGTGATAAGAATAATAAAACGACGGTAAGCAAAAGTCCCTTGCTTACATGGCATCGCACTAAGGGATAAAAACACGTAAAGCACGCCTTCCTCTAATTTCGCGAGCAACGCGTTAACACGTTAAACGCCGTGTCGGTCATCGATGACTGCCGCTTCTGACTTACTCGGGAACGATCGTAACATACGAGATAACGGATGTCCAATGAGAATGTTTAATAAAGCGACCAAGCTGATAATAGTGTAATAAGCCATTAATTAATCATTACCTGCTTGTTCTCGCTACAACGGAATAACTCTACAATAAAATGGTCAAGCTTCCCCGTCGCTGAACGCGTCAAGAAAGGTGTAAGAAACTCCTGCAGAACGGGAAAAGAATCCTCCCAACGGGCACCTGTGAACTCCGATCATCTCTCCGCCGACACCACCTTCTTCGAGCCGTCCGATCAGCGGCGCCGCCAGAGAGCCTCTCGACGGATGATCGAGTCCGTTCGGCATCGAAGGGCGAATTAAAAATACTCAACGTCAGAAAGGGTCTCGGCGAGGATCCGCGCGGCGGGGAGAGGAGAGGGCGCGGCAGCCCTGATCGATTCTCGATCGATCGCAATTGGATTTTCGTGCGGGCGGCGTAGTGGGGCGTCTATTTGAGGCGTCGCCGCGACGCCGTGGTGCAATGCTCAGAATCAGTCTCGGCGGGCGGGTCGTGTTAACGGGGAAAGGTGAAGTGCCGTCGTCGAGCACCAGAAGAGAGCATCTAGGCGACCCAGGGCCTGTATGCTGATCACGTTCCCGCGGTGTTCCCGAGGTGACCAACCGTCCGTCCCAGCCGCGCACTATCTCACGCGTTTCGCCGCCCGCGAGGCAGAATGGCAGCGGACGACCCCCTCAGGGATGAACCCATAGTCTCCGTCGAGTTCGAGGTCTTTGGCAAGGTGCAGGGTAAGGGCGCAGCCTTTCGATTCGAAGATCGCGGCGCGAGTCCCCTTTGCTCGCTCAGACCCGACAGCACCGTTCACGACCGGTGTTTATTTTGAATAGAATGTAGCGCGCTACTTTGGAAATCTGAAAACGTTGAAACAATCTTGAAACGTTGCTTTCAATGTTTCATCGAGGGTGAAGCATGGAGATTGTATTCAGGTCTGAGCGAGTGAACGCGTTAACGTCAGGTTTCTCCTGGCGAAGTCTCTTTCGAGACTGGCGACCCTAATCGAGTAACGCTAGATCGGAATCCGTCGGTTTGACAGGTATTAACCCTGATTAAGGTTCTTTGAGATGCAGAAATCTTTCGGCAGGCGAAGTTATATATTGCTTAAATGAGAAAGAAAGGGAACGTCGCACTGATCTCTAGCTGTTTGGCCAATACGATACGATAAAGTGTAGGCTAAGCATCCGTGAATCTAGCGTTAATCGCGTGGGAATAATCTCGCCTACGAGGTTTACGAAATAATGGAGACACGCTCGGTTAGATCTCAGTTATTTTGTATATTACAGCATTATCTCGAGTGTAGCTTCATGGCTACTAGTCTGAACCACAGCGTACAGGACGTACGAACGATGTTTCCAGTGTTTCGACCAGCCTCCGTGTAATCGTATTCGGAATGTTGAAAATCCCTTTTCCAATTAGCGATAATTCCGTCACGCGTTCGGGGAAGTAAAGTGACAAAACGGCTGGCGAGTTTCTGCTCGAATCCAGTTACGCGTGCGGCTGATTAAGATCGGGAATGAACACAGGGCAATTTAGCCCGTCATTCGAGTACATACCTATCGCGGCTTTCAAGAACTCATCGTTTGTCAGAGTGATTCACGGGAAACCCGGCCGTTCCGTCATCTTCGTTGCAATTGGACGTTACTTCGAAGCATTCCACGGCGAACGGTGTTTCGTACGAAATGTGATTTTCTAATTACACGGCAATTCTCTTCGGCGGCGTAATTGCTTGCATTCGGTGCACTCGATCGAGTGGTACCGAGTAAACCGGAACGGTGACAGCCATGGCCACGTGGAGGCGAGGATCTTCGATGATTCGAAGGGAAATTCGCGAAACCCGTCGATTTCACGGAGATCGAAGATTTTTAACCTCTTAGCTACTGCACGCCGTTAGAGTGTCTTTCGTGTATGCCATTTTTCCGAGCGATTCGCCACAGTAGCCGCACGATTCCTTCTCTGTCGTCGATGGTTGCGCACGATACAGTTTAACGTAATCGTACAATGGACAATTCTATCTTAACCCTTAGCAATCCGGATGATTTTGTAATCTACCAACAACTCCAAGCCGTTTTTATAGTATCTCTAGCACAAATGAAAAATGTTATATTGTAACATCTCTTAGATTTCTTTATTTTCCTTCTTAATACAAGATTTGGTTGTATAGAAGATCCAGTAATTTTAGGGTAGTTCTTCTAAATTTATTCATTAAAATATTTCATAGTATAAATGGTGTCATAGTGGAGCCTACAGAGTGCAAAGGGTTAAATCGCAGCGATATTACTTTTACGATACGCAGACCGCGTCAAACCTTGGCATACGGAGGTACAGCTCGTAGCTGTAGCTAAAAGGTCAAACATTATTTCGTAGCAATTCCACTCGACTTTCATTGATACGATTATACGAATTCGCATTATGATTCTCTATTCTTGACACGCTAATTCCCACGGTCTACATGAACAAACATGTAAATAGGAAATTGCAAGTTGAGAAATCTCAACGGAAGCGTGTACCGAATAATATTCGTGAACTTCTATAGGTATGAAATCGAAGCGTTCGGTGAAGCTAGTGTTAGTCTTTATTTCTAATTAACAGCTAACTCTCGGAGGAGTAATCGAAAGCACGAAACCTATCGAAATGATAAATCGGTATTCGGCAATGGCATTCCCCGCTTTAATTCCCCGACGCGTCCGTTCGCTGTACACCAATAAATAATTCGGTGTGCGCGCTGTTGGCGTGACCGTTGACCGTGTCGCAACTGATTTACAGGTCTCTACTTCCCGAAGTATGTGAGGGATATATGTCTGCAGCTGGGGATCTGCGGCTGGGTGAAGAACAGCAAGACCGGCACGATCCTGGGGAAAATGCAAGGTCCGCGGCCGTTCGTCGATCAGATGTGAGTTACGGCTGATCCCGTGTCACGAGTACGCTCGCGATCTGCCGGGCGCCAATCCGCAAACAGAAATGAAAGTTGCGTTTTTATTGAAATTTTATCTGCCTCTGATTACCGAGAAAGAGATAACGGTGAGGTAAACTCGCGCGAAAGCTCCGACGGCCCGACCGTTTCGCCGCAGTTTCAATTAGAGGGAAAAGAATTCTAAACGTTGCGTTCGAAGTTGCAACGCGTATCTCACTTTACATTGTTTCGCGTGCGTCTGGTACGCGAAATATTAATTCATCTTTCACCCGTGTCACGCGACGCAATTATTTATTTCTTGCGCCACGCGAGTCGAAAGCGATCCAATCGGATGAGCCAAGATCAAACGTCGACTCGAGTGTTACAATGAATCGTTCCGTTTGAGTAGTTATCTGTGATGATGATAGTACAAACAAATCGAGGAGTTCCGATGCCGTTCGGTCCTCCATCCACTCGAACGTGCAAAAGTGACAATAGTTTTTCGTTCGTAGAGAGATCGATGGAAATTTTCTGTGCTGCCGCGGAACGATAATTCATCTAAATGAATCGTTTCGCTTAAATGGCTGTCTACGATGGAGACAGTACAATCGGATCGAAAGACTGCGTCGCGCGTTGCTCGATGGTTACTTTGTCCAGCGATTTTTCGGTGATTTTATCGAGCCGAGGAGTAATTCACGCGGCAGGATTTCATTTAACGAGTGAATCACGCGCCGAGAAGTCGCCGTTTCATGATCGTCCCGCTCGAGCCTACGAATTCGCCGCTCTCCCTTAAAAATCGCCTGACCTTAGCCGCAAATTGCCGAGTAACAGCCATTAGCTAGTTGGGCCTGACTTTAATAATGATTCTAATGAAATAATGGCGCCGGGCCGCGTCGTCTCTTTCCTTCGCAGGTTATCGCCGAATTACGCGGACAAGTCTACGACGGCCGTGGAGCCGCGAGCGAGCGATTCCTCGGCCGATTATGCATTTTCCGCCGCGAGAACGGTGATCGGCGCGGCGGCCATTGCACCGGAAACATCGAGGGGCTCGCGATTATCGTCGGGAACGCGGAAACGTGCGCCTACGTGAAGCGTTTTAATCGTTTTCTTTGAACAATGGTCCTCGAAGAATGGTGTAATTGCCGTTGCTGTTGACAGTTTCAGTAAGAAATCCGTAGGCGTTGATTATTAATCTAGGGTAAACTGTTCGGTAACCGGTGGATGACGCGTTAAGGAACAGCTCGCAGAGGTTGCACGGTCGGATTTACGCCGTTCGTGAACCTGAAGTCAAAGAAAATAGCTCGGTCGAGGACGTAACATCGGTTTCTGGCTTCCCCCCAGAAAGGAAATCGAACGGACCGTTTTCGTTTGCTCGTCCGATTAACCTTTCAGGGACGCCAGATTCCCAATTTCCTCCAATCCTTTCGAATTCCTCTTGCCCAGTTGCGGTCACCCAGACCCGTCGATAATTTTCACTTCTCGATACCTTTTCGTCGCTACCTTTCATTCTGGAAGCTAAAAAACATGTTCGTTCGTTGAACAATGAGAAAAAAATAGAGCCAGCATTGAAAGATTAATGTAGGGTTTAATTGTAGAGAACTGATGAATCTTTCAGTTAGAGAGAGAAGTGAATTTTATATGTTCCTCCAGAAATCAAATACGCGAATAATTGTTGTTGTAATTGACACGTGCGACATTCGGGGAAGGCCCGGGGTCCGGGCTATCAATGATAAAACCGATCGCAGAGAAGACGGCAGTTGGTCCGTATTGTTGTCACGGGACAGCTGATCGACTTTGAAGATCCTACTTCGATAGAGCCGCTTAAAAATACCTGAACTCGGTCTGATTAGCCTCTAATTATAATTGTGGCTGTGTGAGAGCCGCAGTCGCGGCTGTCGCGGATAGGCGCGCGTGCAACTCACACGCTCGCCCGATTCTTATTTGGCGAGTGGATGACTTTTGCATGACTGTCGATTGGCGGAGAAACAACGCTCGAACAAAGTGACCCAGATAATCATCTCGCTGACCTCGCTTCGCATAGATTCAGGGTTCCGCGTTAAAGGGTTACTCAGCGACGAGCGAGTCGAAACCGACCGTGTCGCCCTGTGAAGTTTCTTTTTTTTTACAAAAGAGAAACCCATCCGTTTCGACTCAAAACGAATCGTTTCGTCGAGAATAATCCTTGCACAATGAAACGAGGCCCATTTCGTGCACAAACGTTTTGCGGTAACAGAAAAAAAAATGCGATACGTTTAGTACGCTGATGTCAGTGGGTTCTCATTCAACGCTTGAAAGTCAAAAGTCGGGCAGCCATCTTGAATCTCAAAGTGTCCCCAATACCACCGTGCCTTTCTTTTCTTTTTTCAATTAAAAGAATGGGAAAGGCTGTAACACTTTAATTTTAGACAAAGGGAGAAAGAGAAAGAGAGCAACACATTTTATTGATATTTTTTCCAAGTAATGGACAAAAGAAAGGACAGTTCTAATAGGCAAAATAAACGAAATCACCTTTCATCGAAAGATTAACTTAAAATGAAAGGCAGCAAAATATGTTTTTTGTTAAGTAATTGTCATGGGAAATATTGATCGCGACGGAAATGACATTTTCGTTATCAAAAACGACAATTTCGATGTATTTGTTTGTTTCAGGACGCAATGGCTATCAAACGTAGGGAGTCCGGGTAGCGAGATTCATCACTGCGATTTCACGAATTGGGAAACTGTAAGCAGGCAACAGTACAAAGGATTCGCCATACGTTTCTAATTGCGCGGAGACTAAACGTCACTAAAATTATATTAGCAGCTGCAGAAGTGAAATTATAATAACATATTTCCGGTCTTTAAAGATGTCTTTTTATGTAACGATGCTCTCAGTTGGAGCACGGGACCGTTCATGGAATTCTGAAAAGAATTTACAATTGTATTTCAATCAGGAGAAAGAAATTTTGCAACAAACTTAACTTCAGATGTTTCGTGTCGATGTAAATAATACATGAAACTAATATTCTTGGTAGTGTGTACTTTAAGATATAAGCATCGAGAACAGAAAACATTCAAATGTGTACATATGTATGTTGAAACTATGTTAATATTAACACCTATGAGACACTCATAAAATAAGCAATATAATTATCATTGTATTATCAAATATAACGATCTTGAGAAAAAAAGTATTACCGGTGTGTGGTCAATTGAAACCAGATTCAAAGCAAAAACAAATTTATTGAACATATTTCTCGCTACAAGATAAATTTAAATCATATATCGTTTAAACATCATGTCGTATTCTCATAGACGGTCGTTGCATCTAACATCAATTGCACAAGATGATAATCAGGATGCATTTCGGATAAATGCCTAGAAACTCGTCGTATTAATTCGATAGTTTTGTCAATTGAACAATTTGTACAAATCACTTCTGGCGCGTTCTGAAATAAATTAATTATGTTTACAATTATACATATATATATATATATATATATGACATGAATTCTATATCAAATAATATATACCAGACTCTCTAGGTATTTGGAGAGTGTAGGACTTATACGAGAAACTTCTCTCAGGAGATTAGGCGTTTTCGAAAGGTACGCCATCATCCTCCTACCTGCGATCGGTAAGAGATTTACCGATAATTTCTCCACGTCGTTTACTGCTGCAACAACCTATTAAAAAATACCAACTATTAACACCTCTTATCGTTTAATCCTACATTACTACGCGAGATATTTATCGTTTATAATTTAATTATAATTAATTAATTAATTAAACACTTCTTAGTCAATTTAAACTATATTCACATTACTGAAAAGAGCCAAGAAATAAATCCAGTCATCAAAATATATGTATTTTATAGAGTGAAGTATGAAACCTTAATTAACCCACCTCCTCTGCCAATTGATCAAACCCATTTATATATAGTTGACAAACTTGATGTATTCTCAGTTCATCATTATTAATTTTCCAAATGGAAGCAAGAGTCTGGCATGTACTCATCCACTGAATAGCCTGCATTGAACTTAACGTTTTACTATCACCGGTTTCTTGGTGAATATAATCCATTGATGCAGTTATAATTCGACATAAAAATTCTGTTCTCAAACTATCTCTCGCGTCATCTCTGTACCATGTAATCATTGTTTTATCTGTCATAGATTGAAAGAAATATGGTTGCACCTACGTGTAAGTTTAAGATTAAATATGTACAAACGCATTACGCTTTAGGTTACAGTAAGTTTTCACGTACCATCGGTTCAAATAAATTATTCAACGGCTTTGTTACTTTCAAATTGAAATATGCCATCATGTACAAAACGTGGGCCAACTGTACATGTAAAAGTAACAGGTCGTACCAAGCCGGTAATTGAGAAATAGCTAATGCAGCAAACGGTTGTGGACCAGAAGCACAGCCTTCCCATAATTCTTCCGACTTAATCAAGTTATTAATCTTTCCTTCAGTCTCTAACACCTCTGACTAAAGTAAAATTATTGTATGTGCATCATTTAAATGATTTTTAATCGATTTTATACTATGTTCATTGTTAATTTCATAGACACTTACATCGATGAATATTTCAAAGAATGTAACACAATTCTGTAAAAATGTAACTATCTGTGAATCTGTTAAACTAACTTCCAATACGTACAACCTATCTTTTGGTAATTTTCCAAGCTTATTCATTAATTTCGCAACAAATTCCATTCTCTTTTTTATATGAACAGACCATAACAAACAGCAAACACCTCGATAAAAACATCAATTATTTATAAAAGATAAAAAATCTGTTGTGTAATAAAACTACTGAATCACTTACCATTCCTCATTTGTTTCAACGGTATTTGTTGTAAAACGAATAATGCGCTTTCGAGAGATTTTATCTGTGAAATGTCTTTGTTCCATGACATTGCAAATTCCCAACACACATTAGCTAATAAAACGCTACTTGTTAAACTGTACGGAAAATGACGTTTTAACAGCATAATATGCTCTGAAAATTTCAAATGATTTAACAGAATTTCTTTAAATATAAACCTTAAGGAAACTAACATATGAAGGTATATTACCTAAAATATAGGTAGTCGCAGTCGGATCATCCTTTGCTTCACTTTCAATTTGCGTATCTGTCGGTAAAGGTTGTTCTGTATCATGCTGCGTAACTTCTGTATTACACGGTTCATCGGAGGTATTTGTTACTCCCGCCGTATTGTTTGGTAACTGTGATTCATCGAATTCATTATCAATCATATTCACTAATTGTGCTGGATCAATACCGGTTGAAACAATCCATTTTGCAACAATCTCTGACACAGAACCTGAATAAAGTAATAAATAAATAAACTGGTATTATTTGTGGTAGCTGTATGTATTTCATTTTTAAAGATATACCTTTTCCTTTTGACAAAACTGAGTTTAATGAAATGTCGAATTTAGTGAACGGCAAAGCAAAAAATTGTGTCGTGTCATCTGAAGGAGGCTTTTGGCTGAAAGGATTTATTTGCATTACAGTTCATACTTACTTCTTAAACGATAACATTGTATCCAATGGTATTCCATTTACCTCACAATAGCGTCCAAAATCGTAATATCCTCGAGATTCCCAATGTGCAAGGTAAATTGACAATTATCTTTAGTTACATTTTCCCATTCACTTGTTAAATTATATGTTTCGTCATTTGATCTTGTATTGGATACAAACCCTCCGACTTCGTTTATTTCTATTGAATTATTTTCATTTTTATTAACGTCCTCTTCATTACAATTATTGTTTTCAGTTTCACTGTTATTCTTCTTTTCCTTGTGTTTCTCTAAAGACATAGCAACGGCCCTGCACGCCAAAGCAGCGGTAAGTGCATTAAATGGACTCGTGGACTCCGAGAGAATAGTTCGAACATTTTTCCACCATAAAGATACTTCGTTATTTTCGACACATATTTCTTCAACATCTATAACAATATTTGTTATGACAATAACAATTTTGTATTCATCAACTTATTAATGTATCAATTGAGATCTTACTATTAATTGAACAAATAGCAGTTAAAAGTTGTACAAATTGTTTTAATTTTGCTCCTAAACAGGTCTCCCTTTTTTTATCCAGCCAGTAAATTAAAGCAAATTTCATTAAGGCAAAAGGCTGAATGTTACTGCTCGCAGCTGCCTCTTTCCAAGCTTCAATTCCGTCAGTTGAACGCATACAACCTTCATATATTAACTGAGCTGAAAATCAAAGTGAAAAAAGAAATTTAATTGTAACAATAGTGAATGCGACAACATGTAATTTCAATGTCATAAATTACATTACTTACAAACTTGAAGTTTCTTCTCTGATTTTGTATTTTTCTTAACATCTATCAATCCTGGTGTTCCAAACTCAAAACAAGATAAGAAATTTAAGAAAGCTTTTCCATCTTCTTTGAACTTTACTTTAGTTTCTCCTTTAGAGCTTGTAGATTTAAAATTATTTATTGTATTAAATAATTTATAAATTCTGTGAACTTCTCTTTCAGAAGTTAATAAAACTGAGGCTAATTCTGTATCGCTTAAATCATCGTCGTTAGTATGACCTCCTTCTGGAGTATCAGGCTGTGATTGACTATATTTATAAAACTTAATCACTTGCTGCAACTGTGTGGTTAATGTGTGCAGTATTTTTACTGTAGGTTCCATTTCTTCTTTATTTATTTCTTCTGAAACACACGAATACCAGATAACAGTGTTCTCAATTACTTTCACAAAAGTATGACGATAATAAATAATATACCATATTCATCTAGTTTTTTGATAAAACACTCTGTGGCTGCGAGTAAAGCATCAGGTGTAATATGTTTATTTATCATCAACATTTCCAGCGTCTGTACTCCTATTTCATTAGTCTTCAGGTCTGTACATACACTACGAACTTCTGATATTAATTTTTCGTCATCGAACTCTTCTTCGCGCAAAAACATCTTTAATTTTTTTAAGAGATGTATATCACGTGCCCTTTTCCCATTCTTACTACTAAGGGCAAAATGGAACGGGACAGTGATTTCTTTTAGACCTCCCAGTGGGTCCATAAAAACACACGAATACCGCGGTTTATTTTTCGGTAAATGTACATTATCATTTGTACCAAGAAGTCCATAATTAATATAAATTAATCTTCGTGGCGATATGAAAAAAATTAACAAGTTTAGACGAAAATAGTAGAAAAAAAAAATATAAACAGTCACATTACTCACCGTCCGCGTTTGCTAGCAGTGAACGTAGTAATTTTAGGACCTTGTTGGGTACTCCATATGTCTATTAAACCCTTTTTAGGAGCGTAAATAACTAGAAATAATGCAGAACGTAAATACGACGTTTGTTTAAATTTACTAAATGTTTTGTTCGTTTCCGTATGTTTTTCTTCGTCCACTTCGATCCATCCACATTGAGCATCACGATATCCCTTCCACATTCTCACAGCTACACCACGTCTATTATCTATTAATATTACTCTGCCCATTGCATCTGATATTACTGATAACATCTTATTTGGGCTCGATACTACTGAATAACCCTCGCGTGTAACATCACTCAAACCAAATCTACAGATCATCGGCTCAACTGGTTCATGAGTACTAGATTTTAATACCTCGGGTGAAACATGGTTCTTTGAATTTCCCCAACTAAACCAGCTAAACGAAAAAATACAACAAATATTTTTAATAACAATTATAAACGGAAACATGATAGATTTAACTGTTACTACTAGACTATATTTCAAATGAGGAATTTTAACAGCTTCCTTACAAGTAATATATATCTTCTGATACTAAATGCATAACATTAATATATTATGCAACACTCACGGAGCAGCAGTTCCAATAGCATTTACTAATTTGCTGGCCATTGCTAGTGCAACGTCAGACAACACTGGTGCTGTACCACCTTCCAATTCATAATGAAAACCAACAAATGGTCTTTTACCAGCTGCAATTACTAAATTATGTTGCGGTGCACTAGATCTGTAAGATGCATTATATCCACCGCATATTGAAGCTGTCATTAAATGATCAAAACTATTTACAGTTGTAGTACCAATTACTTCAGAATCATTTACAATATCCTGATTTCTGTATCCCCACTTCTTATATGATAAATTTGTGACTGGTGGCAAATCATCACAATTTGCTTTAACTATAACAATGATATACATTGATATACATGTACAGTCCATATAATTTCTATTAATTTCACACATTATTTCATTCCTGTACCTCGGGCCAAATGGTTTCTACATGCTCGTAATGTTGAAAATAAAGGAAATCCTTGCAATATACATATAACACTATTGTAAAGTACGTGTACTTCTTCCGTTGAACCAGTATCCCCTGCATGTTTCTGCGAACGAAATGATTGACATTTTAATCCTATGACTGGTTCGTTATGTAACTGCTCTCCCAATAATAATGCACCTGTCTAAATGAAACACATAATTTAATAATAATGAAATGAATTGGCATTATACTTTTAAAGGCACAATAAGACTTACTTCTGTGTATACTCTAATGAAACCAGAATTGAAACCAACTATGATACATGTCCAGTCTGGATTAATACCACCACTGGCCTTTCCCAAAGATAATAAAGGTAAACAAATCACCGATGTCACCCATTCGCTAAAAAATACTTTCAATATACGAACATATTTTCAAATAAATTTTAAAAATGAAGAAACTATCAAAGTTGATAGTTGCTGTAACAAAGACTTACTTTGGTTCCTTTGTAATTTCCCCGTACCATATTATATGAAATTTGTTTTTTGTTTCATCAGGTTCTAAAGAATCCCATCTTGCTAATATAAAATTAAAAGGTATATTTATATGTCTAATTTCTGAACGAGTCATACAGAGTGTCTAATAGCATTGGGAAAACCTTTTGCCACTAAGTTCTGTGTGTAAAAACAATAAATTGATTAGTAAAGATAAACAGAAGCTGATTATAACTCAAAAACAGACTGGAATAGAACTTATGTTTGTATAAACTTTTCTTACTGTTTTCGTGTACAGAATCCACTGGCAAAAGGTTTCTTCAATGCTATGTAACATAGTTTTTAACTGCAAATATTTAACAAATAAATACTTCACAGAATTTGAAGGGGTAAAATTATATTTATAAAAATACAAAAAGTGTTAAAAGTATATGCAACAAAATTTGCAGATTCGTGGAAAGAACCTATTAAAAGAGATGAAAACATAATTAAGTAAAGAACATATGTGTAAATGTTGAAGTATTACGTACACATTAATATAATCATCCTCGTATTAAATGCCATAGCAAGAATATCTCCTGTCGATGACAATGATATAAGACAGTTCTGAAGAGGTAACTCATTTTGTGGAATGTCAACTGAAAAACAGTAACGTTAACGTTCGCAATATTTTTCACATGACAAACGAAGAAATTCAACAACTTACACTTTCTAGTGGACTCGCGAAAAAGTATATCCTTTATGTCACTCGTTTTAATTAAATTCGCGATCCCCTTAATTTGACAAGACATGTCTAACTAATAATACAGCTATCAATTACATTTGAAAAACAATTTCCAATGTCTCACCACTGAAACAATAAACATGTAGGAGTCAAGCTGAAAAAGCTGTCGACAAAACTGACACGCATGTTCAAGGAAATGTTAATAGAACGGTGAAATGCCGTATGTTTGCAAAGAGGATAGTATATTGCAGAGATTCTTCGTCTCAGAATTGGTGGATCGTAAAGAAATAAACAGCAAGGAACACTGTTGTTATTTCCACCGTATCGGTAATGCAGAGCCGAAGTAGAAGGAAACGGGAACAACACGAACGGTCGCGCAGGCAGATAACAATTAAGTTATGAATCGAAAAGACGAATGAAAAATATTTATTCGTGCGAAACATTAAGTAGATTTCGAGTTAAAATGGAGAACACGTGTTGCATGACATCACGTGACGTAATTCGCGACGTTTTAGAAACACTCGCTAGAATTTTTCTGATTGGTGAAAACGGATCGTTAGGACCAATGGAACGACTCGTTTCTCCGCAATGGTCCGCCTAACGTGTTCAGCCATTTTGTTATTATTTTCGAAAATCTTTAGGTTGGGTTTAAGGAGTACGTAACGTGATCACTTTTTACGTTTCTCGTTGATAGTTGTAGAGGGAACAAGAAGAAATAACGTATGAGATTTAAAAAGGAAGGTTACGACGAAGAACGGCCTCGGTGGGTATCGTACATTTACGCGTACGAAGTACTCCTCGCTGACGATCGTCGGGAAACAGAGCAGGGACAGGAGAGGCAAGCGAGAGAACGTACGAGAGATAGAGAGAGAGAGAGTGAGTGAGAACGAGACGGTGAGGAACAGCGAGAGTGTGTGAAACGAGGAACGAAATTGGTCGCGCGCGGGAATCAGCGGTTGTTGTGTGTTTGGCCTTTTTCTGCTTGTGATTTATTGCGAGAGATTGTGATTGCTGGTGCGAGACGTGTGTTTTTTTTACTTAAGAGTCGAGAATCCACGTGCGGGAGTCGATGCGGTACGTTGAAATGTCGTTTGCGACACTTTTATGCATTCGATAACGACGCAATGAGTAAAGTGCACCCGGACAACAAAAACCAACGAAACGCAATGATCCGTTTAACGATATTTTTACGCAACTGCCGTCGTTCCTTTGTACACGATCAAATGTACCACGTGAAACACTTTTTCGCACTTGATTTACAAACATCATGCACTATAAATCTCTACATAACCTTCTTTGCAATTGTCAAATGTAGGTTAGGTCGAGCGGTCGCAGTGCGGTGACCTCCCTCGCGTACACGTTAACTGCGATTTCCTTGCTTATTGTTGCTTCTATTCGGTTTCATTCTTTATACCATGTTTGGTTTTTTTTCAGTCTCCCGAACTTCGTTTCGATCCGCAATAAAATAATTCTCGTGCTGAAACAAAACAATTAGTTGATGTTGCTACCTTCTCTAAATTCCTATTGTATGCCTATATTTTTTTGCGAAATTACAGTAATTTAGTGCAAATGTTTATTAGAAGTAACGAAGTAACTCGTAAAAAATCAGTACTCATAGTATGTTTTTACATGTTGACTATACCGTTAAATTTAACAACGAAAATATCTGGTTTATTGAATTTTACAAAATTCTGATTTTTTTTTAAATACCTTCCAATCTTAGCTACACGTTAATATCATTGTAAACATGTACGGTACTTTCTAACGTTCAGATCTGTTTATTAGTTTGTGTATTATACAGTTTATTTGAATTGACCTTAATCGATTGTATAGAAGTTAATTGTTTTCAGATAGAGTGTATGAAAACTGGACACTTTACAATAAATAATGACAACTCTAGCAGAACAAGCATCCAAGCTTTTGGATTTTAATCAGAAGCTTGATATAACGCTTCTCGATAATGTAGTAGGTTGTATGTACACTGGAATAGGTGAGCAACAAAAACTTGCACAGGAAGTATTAACCACACTTAAGGAACATCCAAATGCATGGACACGTGTAGATACTATTCTAGAATATTCACAGGTAATTTACCTATTTCTACTCGTTATTCATCTTATTTATATGTCCATTGGAAACATAACTCTTCTCTACCGATACACGTTTGTTTTTATACAGAATCAACAAACAAAGTATTATGCTTTACAAATATTGGAGCAAGTAATAAAGACAAGGTGGAAAGTATTACCACGAAATCAGTGTGAAGGTATAAAAAAGTACATTGTAGGCCTTATCATAAAAACAAGCAGCGATCCAGAAACAATGGAAGCGCAAAAAGTTTACCTCAACAAACTTAATATGATTTTAGTGCAGGTAAGTAAAAACATGAATTTTTTTCCCAATGAAAGAAAACGACTGCTACTTTTTATATTAACAGGGCATGTTTTGTTTCTCATAGGTTTTAAAACGAGAATGGCCAAAAAACTGGGAATCTTTTATTGGCGATATTGTTGGGGCAAGCAAAACAAACGAAAGTCTTTGTCAAAACAATATGACAATTTTGAAATTATTGTCAGAAGAAGTATTTGACTTTTCTAGTGGTCAAATGACACAGACAAAAGCAAAACATTTGAAGGATACAATGTGTAGCGAATTTTCTCAAATATTTCAACTTTGTCAATATGTTCTGGATAATTCGCAAAATATTCCACTAGTATCTGTTACATTAGAAACTCTCTTAAAATTTTTAAATTGGATTCC